AATATATTAACATAAAATTGTTATATTTTTTTACTGAATAATCAAATTTTATGGAATAAAATGTCGTAAAATAATTTTTCAAAATTTCAAACCAAACGTGTTTTCTAGTTTTCTGTTTTGAGAAAAGAAATAAATTTTCAAAATGACAAACCAAATGCATTTTTAATAATCTTAAAACAGAACTAAAAATGAAATCAACAAACACAAACACAAACTAAACATAACCTAAAGTGTCTTGTTTCGAAGTAGACAAAGGGGGGCTAGAAAGGCTGGGTAGCATCATAGAATGTTATAATTTCCCAATAGATCCAAACAAGCCATTTTCTTTTCTAAATTTTAGTTTTCCAGTAGATACATTTTCACTTCTAATGAGTTGAACCAGAGAGTGCACTTTTCGTTCATTAGGTTTCATAACAACAGCTCGCCTATTTTCAAGAAGTGGCCGCTTTCGAGCAGGAATGTTCTTGGGCTTTGAAGCAAATGGCAGAGCCTCCTGTAGTGACTTCGGAATAACCAATGGGTTGAACTTCTTCGGCTTCCTTTCAATTGGCTGTTAACAACACAAAATGTAAATGGTAAGGATGCTGTATAAAGAACAAAAGGAAGTCCATGTCTTATCTTCCCTTTTTATTTATTTATTTTATTTATTTTTTATTTTGAGTAAGCTGGAGTGCAAGAGGGAAACGAGTTATAAGACACCGGTGAGTTCTCACCCGATAAAATGAATCCTTGTTGACAGGTACTGGAAGATTGTGTTCTATCCTCAATTCAGCAACTGTTTTCATTCCTTGCCATGTCTTATCACGTGGCTCCAAGGCTAACAGTCAATGGATTGTAAAAACAAGGAACTTCAACTTGAGTCCAAGCACAAAAACACAATATCGCCCATTTTAATTTTATCCTCAAAGGTGCATCTAGCGATGCCTTCTTTAGCATGTCCACCCTTCTTATTTGACTTACTACCAATCTCTTCTTTTGCAGCCTAAATCAGAACCAAAAAAAAAAAAATAACAGTCTCATATGATTTCTTACTTCCAAAGCAAAGCAAGTTGACGACAGTCGAAGTAAGTTTGATGAAAGGAACAAGAAAGAGAACAAGCAAAAAGGAACATATTTAGCAAAACAATATTTAACTGAGCCTTATTCCCGGAAAAGTGGGGTCAGCTACAGGAATCATTTTTCATTACTTCTGTTTGTTCCTTTCTATTGCTACATCTACAGGTTCTTAGCACCACAATAGAGCAGTTAGTTAGGTCCCCACCTCCTCTTCTAAATTGTTCAACTAAGATCGCATCACTCTTAAGAATAAAAGTCCCTTTAGGTATATGCAAGACCTGCCCCCCAAACCAATTTGCCCTTCACTTGATTTCTCCATAATTGGTGCCACCTCTGCTTGTTGGGATTTGACAAAGGAACTAATCCATTATTAATTTATTGATCTTTTAACTCGACCATTAACTTATACATACTCATCATGTTGGCTGATTATCAGTGTCACAGTGTGTCTCATTTCTACCAAGAGTATTTCATATATAGTTGACACGACTCGTCCCAAATCACCTTACTGAACCAAAACGTGACGTGCACCGATAATAGATACTAGCTAAATGTTGGACTCACCATCGAGGCAACTTTGACCTGCTTTAACTATAATGAAGTTAAAAAATAAAAATTGGCAAAATTTCCTCTATAATACGGATTAGACCCACCTGAAAAGCAACAAATTTCCTCACACGTATACATGTAAATTAAACAAGGGTACATCGGCCTCTCTAAACACAAACTATTCAAAATAAAGTACAGGGGCATCGACATTTACTATTCTTTACAAGTAAAAGCCCTCAAATTCACTAAAGATACAAAATATGCAGAGAGCCCATGATATTAATATGTAAAACACAAAATGGCTTATCAAACGTGATAAGCTTTGATAAGCATGTGCCCAAAAGAAATATAAATTATATAAACTGACAAAGTGAGTCGTACAAAATTTTTGATACTTTATTTTATGTATTTTTCATTTTTGCCCAACAAACTTTAGCAGTTGACCTCCTGTAGAAAATGCCAAATCTGTTGGGAAATTTTAGCAATTTCCTTTATTTCAATTAACCCGGGATCTTTTATTGTTCAAAAGGATATTAGCAAATAAGAAAAATAAATAATATAATGCACAAATTAAATGGACTGTCAAAACTTTTTCACTATATG